TCCCTTAACTCCTTTATAATTTTCTGTGCAGAGATTCTGCATGTATTTCGTTAGACTTATTCCCAAATATTCCATGCTTATTGATAGCAATGTAAATAATATGAGTTTAAAATTTTCCTTTTCTAATTGTTTTCTGCTAAGATATAGAAATACACTTGATTTTTGTATATTGACCTGATATCCAGCCATTTTTTAACCTCAGAGTTTATCTGTAGATTATTAGATTTCTTGTGTATACTATCATGCATTTGTGAATATGAGTTTCATTTTCCAATACTTATTTCTTTTGTTTCCTTATTGCACTTGCTAGGACCTGTAGTACAATGTTAAATATAAGTGGTGAGAGTGGACATCCTTGCCCTGGTCCTGATCTCAGGAGAGAAACATTTGATATTTCATCATTCAGTATATTAGCTTTGGCTTTGTTTTGTTTTGTTTTTATAGATGTCATTCCTCAGCTGGAGGAAGTTTCCTTCTATTCCAAATTTAATCAGTTTGTTCAACTAATAAATAAGGGTTGAATTTTGCCAAGTGCTTTTGCATGTTCATTGACTTGATAATGTGTTCTTTTTTCTATTAATATACAGCATAACATTGATTGATTTTCAGTGATCAAAATGATTCTGTGCCCTGTAGTGAACTCCACTTATTCATGTGCATTATCCTTTTGAATTACCACTGAATTCAATTAGATAATATTTAGTTAAGTATTATTGTTCATAAGAATACTGGTCTTTTAATATATTTTTTTCATGTTTTCGTACCAGTGTTACACTGGCCTTATAACAAGAATGTGTTAGCTGGGCGTGGTGGCTCCAGCCCCTAATCCCAGCACTTTGGCAGGTCGAGGTGGGCGGATCACGAGGTCAAGAGATGGAGACCATCCTGGCCAACATGGTGAAACACCATCTCTACTAAAAATACAAAAATTAGCTGGGCAATGTGGTACGTGCCTGTAGTCCCAGCTACTCAGGAGGCTGAGGCAGGAGAATTGCTTGAACCCAGGAAGTGGAGGTTGCAGTGAGCCGAGATCCACCACTACACTCCAGCCTGGGCGACAGAGCGAGACTCCATCTTATAAATAAATAAATAAAACGTATTCCTTCTTCTTGTATTTTCCATAAGAATTTATGTAAAACTGGCATCATTTATTTCATCAAATGTGTGATGAACTAATCAGTGAAACCACCTGGACTTGAAGTTTTCTTCATAGGAATGTTTTCGATAAATTAATGTCTGTGATAGATATAAAGCTATTCAAAATTTTTATTTAGTTTTGTATTTGTTGCGTAAGTTGCATTTTTTCAGTGAATTTATCCATTTTTATTTAAATTGTCAAATCCATTGGCATAATATTCTGTATTTTTTTTTGATATATGTAGGATCTGCAGTGATGGCCCTTCTGTTATCACTGATATTGCTAGTTTCTGCTACCTCCCTTTTTCTTTAGGCAGTGTTACCAATTTTACTAGTATGTTTTTAAAAAATAAATTTTCAATTTATTTTTCTCTTTACTATTTCATTAATTTGGATCTTATTTTTATTATATCCTTCTTCCCACTCACTTTGGATTATTTCCTCCTTTTACTGTTTTCCTAAAGCAAAGGCTGTAATCATTGATTCTGAACCTTTCAGCCTCTCTTAAGATAGGCATTCGAAGCTGCAAATTTCCCTCTAACTAATGCTTTAGTTGCGTACTGTAGATGTTGGTGCTACATATTCATGATCACTCATTTCCAAATATTTTATTTGCCTTATTTTTATTTTTCTCGTAAGTTATTTAAAAGTGTATTGTTTAATTTCCAAATATTTAAGGACTTTCTAAATTGTATTGACTCTCATTCCACTGTGGTCAAAATTACTTGTAAATTGCATTCTTTGTTATTTACTGAGATTGTTTTCTGTTTGTATGTAACTTGTATTTTCATGTTTACAAAAATATTTTTGCTTTGAGCTGTATTCTAATCTCATTTAGTAGTTTGATAATCTCAAGTCTTCTATATCTTTATCGTTTTTTTTTTGGTTGTTGTATCATGATTAGAGGAGTGCTAATTCTTCATTTTTTTGTTTTTCTTTACTTCCATCAGTTTTTGATTAATGTGTTTTTAAGCTGTTTTTAGGTATGAACACTTTTAGAACTGTCATACTTTCCTTTCATATTGGTGCTTGTACATTAATGAAATCTCCCTATCTCTGAAAATTACTGTCTTGAAGACTCCTTTGTCTGATATTAATATGTATATGTGTACTATAGCTTTTTTATGGCTAGTTTCTGTATGGTTTTGCTGTGTCTGCACCCAAATCTCATCTTGAATTGTAGTTCCCACAATTCCCACGTGTTGTGGAAAGGACCTGGTGGGAGGTAATTGAATCAAGGAGGCAATTACCTCCATAGTGTTCTCATGATAGTGAGTTCTCATGAGATCTGATGGTTTTATAAGGGGCTTCCCCCCCTTTCCTCTGCACTTCCCTCCTTGCTGCTACCATGTGAAGAGGACATATTTTCTTCCCCTTCCGCCACAATTTTAAGTTTCCTGAGGCCTCCTCAGTCTTGTGGAACTGTGAGTCAATTAGACCTCTTTCCTTTATAAATTACCCAGTCGCAGGTATGTCTTTATTAGCAGAGTGAGAATGGACTAATACAGTTTCCATGGCACGTTATTTTCTATCCTTTTTTAAAATTCAATTTGTGTCTTTGTACTTAAAGTGATTCTCTTGTAGACTACATGTAGTTGGATATTGCTTTTTCATCTAATTTGATAATCTCTGCCTTTTCACTGGAATGTTCAGTCTATTTACATCTAACTACTGATGTGGTTGAATTCTCATTTTTGAAAAATGTTTCTCTCATTCAAGATTGGTCCATAGTTTTTTTGTGTGTGCTATTTTGTTAAGTTTGATATCAGTTTTATTCACCTTAAAAATAATATATTTCATTTTCTAAAATATTAGTTTTTCAAGGCAAATATAAACGATATCCAAGCCTGATAGAGTCACTAAAAAAAGGATTATTGTCTTTGAGGTCTGATACTTTTTGTACACTATAACTGTCTCAACCTTTTCCTAAATACAGAAACTGGTATGTTTTTGTTTTCTTTTCCTCTACTGGAGTCAGTTTTATCCAACAATATTTTTTCCTAGGAAATTATTCATTTATATTTTCAAATTTATTTGTGCCAAATAGTGCAGATGCATGACTTTAATAGATACATTCACATCTGTGCCTTCTCTCCTTCAACCACCCCCTCCTAGTCTCTTTTGATTAGGTTAGCTTCTCAGCCCTTCAGCAGCCTCTTCTACAATTCACAGATGCCATTTAGGGACTCATGTTTATGGGGACTTTTTCCCTTCTAAATCCTAACCTCTTCATTCTTCACTTTCTTGGAAATTCCTCAACGCATAAACACAATCTTTTATTTGTCCAGATTTTCTAGTCCTCAGTAAGAGCATTGGTTTGAATTACACAGTCTAGCAGTACTCGATACAATACCCAACATGTCTTTTTAAGATTACGAAAAAAAGGGGGAGGGAGAATCTTCACAGAAATTTTGAGTGTAAAAAACATACTCTCCTCAGTGGATATTTCAAACATTTTGTAAATCCATAGTACTCTGTCTAACCTATAGAAGCCCCTTTATAAAATGGTTATTTGTGTAGTGAAATTTTCTATACTTGTTTTGGGGTTAATTTCTATTGCTCCTTTCCACCACCCCACCTACGAAAGTGAGATAGAGCATGGTTGATATGAATGTAATGCTGATTAAATTAACAGCAAATTGTATCTTTAACACAAAAGGAGAGTCTAGACTGGAGACATGTCTATAAATCATCATCATGGAGCTGTCAGTAGAAGAGCTCACTAGGTTGTGTATTGACAGTGGAAATGACATTTCAGAGGCCAAAGGAATAAAAAAAGACTTGTGGACACACAGAAAGCCTGCACAGCAGTTTGGCTTACTCTTTGGATATAGACTCTGCTTTTACCTCCCAGGTAATTTTGACCATGGGACAGGAGTCAGAGGATCTAGTCATTTCAACATATACACATACTTATACATTAGAATACAGAACTATATATACACACATGTGTGCCTATATAGTATATACACACACGCATATATATACACTTACACATATACTTACATACACACATACACATATATGTTGTGATCAGCATGTCTATTACAGGACTCCAAAGCCCAATTGGATCATTTAGATTCTCACATATTCTTTCAAGCAATAGTTGTGAATGTGTGTGGGAGTACACTACTGGAGTGGATGGAGAAGGATGTAAATAATAACCAAACATAGGCACTAAGGAGGCTGGGAGTTGGGGAAAGAGGCAAAGTTAGCATCCGAACCTCAGGAAGCACAGGGTCTGGAAAATGATTCTGGATACAAGGCTCTCAGCAGCAAGAGTTAACCCATGAGTACACATAGGTAATTTGTTGGTATAAATAACATTTTACCACTTTTGAAATAATTCTCTTTCAGAGTAAAAAAAGTGCCATTTATTCTTTTCTTTTCCTACAATTCTTAGCAGTGTTCTCTTAATACAAAAATAGGAAATGAATTAATCACTGCTCTAATAGAGGGAACTTTCTTGAATCCATATGCAATTGGACAAGTCATTAAATACCTATGGCTATGTACAAAACAAAGTTTAAATATTAGACTGCTTCCCCCATCATCCCCGCTATTTTATAATCGGTTTTTTTCAAATCTCTTCTCTTCTACCGTAAGCCAATAAATTACAGCTCTGGAGGCTCTGTAAAACTTATCTTGGCTTTCTTTCCAATGATGTCCTTGTGCTGGATTGTATATTTATACACTGTTTTAAAATTTTTGTTAAAGAGTTTAAAAAATCCTAATATCTATTTGGGCTTCTATATTACTAAGTCATGTCAACATCTAGCACAATAAGTATATTTTGCAAGAAGGTAACAAATGTAAAAATCACCAGTGGCACTGAACTTTATATTTAATAATTACAGTCAGAATGTTTTGGTAGATTTTATTCACACAAATTTTTAAAATCATGAACAAAGTCATTAATTCTGAATTCAAGTAAGTCAAAAATATTTTAATTTAAATTAAGGCACTACATAACACATTTCTTTAAAGCACACTCATGTTATTTTATTTACACACTATTTTAAGAATTGACAATAAATACACATTTTCCATCTCCTCCTTGTCCTTCATTTATAACTTTACGTGTTAACAAGGAAGTAAAACCCTCCAAATAAAAGGAATTAAATGCAATCATCCATAAAGCTTATCAGATACGGGCACAAGGAGGAGACACCCAAGAACAATGTAAAAACATTTTAATCCTTTAATGTTCCAAGAATTCTATAAATTCTTAAGCCAAACCTTAATGGAATAATAATACAAAACCTATAGATAAACATTGAAAGTTTTTTTCTATTGCTATTTACCAGAAGAACTGCATATAAATAACAGCAGCAGAACTGTCCTATGTTATACATGAATATACCTATTCTGAATTTACTGACTGAATTAAAAACACTTAATCAAAACCTTTCCCATTACCTTGGGGTATTGTTTCCTGGAGCCAAATACTTTCTACCACCCAGAAAATAGAGCAGTATATTAGTTATTTAACAAAATACACACCAAAACCTTAATGTAAAAGGCTAGTTTTACTGTAAGATTTTCTCAGTGTACTAAAGGAGTCAATGGCTTTAACAGTGATAATTTTTTTAAAGATACAAATGAATCAACACATAGTTGTATATGTTTTATTAAATAAATACTATTCTTTTTGTTCCATCAACATATACTTTTTAAATTTTTGCTTAATTTACAAGTCAATATTTTGAGAATGTAAGGAAAGACAAATATGTAAATATCTTGTTGAAAGGGTTAAGATACTGACAGGACATCCCTTCGTATTCCATCCTATATAAAATCCACTCATGAGTTGGATGCCAAGTATAGATTTCTGAAACTGATAACCACCAATCACGCTAATGCAATCATTAAAACTCACACCATTGCAAGGACCAAGTATAAAATATTCTGCTACTATTTTAGATACTTCAGAAACATCTACTTCTTTAAATGAAAAGCTTTAAATGTGTCAATGCTATTCGCTTTTTAACGGAAATTAAAGTAGAACTTTTCTATTATTCCGTTTAGATCAACTATTAATATTAACCTTTAGGATTACTGTTTTATGTGAAAAAATTGGAAATTTTTTAAAGCAAAATTAGTACTATTGGTTTTTATTTCATTTATTTTACTGTTCTTAATACAGTCAATTTATGACCAACAGCATGGATTATTTATATAGGGTTTGAAAATGCCTCTCAACAACCCCAAATACAACAGGCAGCAAATACCGGGCTCAAGAAATTAGCAGTGACTCAATAGGATGCATTGTATGTTTGATGACTGGCACCACTGTTCTTCTTTACCATCATAGATAATCAACATTTAACTGGGCTGCATATTTATTACACTCTTATATTTGTAAAACAGTTACCAAGTTTATTTTATATTGTCAAAACTTTACAGATCATACTATTAACTGCTTATCTCATGTACTGATGAATGGTTCTTGAGCCCAATTCTTCCCCTATTAAATATAATCTAGTCTGTCACAACCTAGTTTCTTCATATTAATTTTGATTACTAGAAGGTACCAGCTAGCAAAAGCAGGATGACAGTTCTTCACAATAAACCCTTGGCTCTGAACAAACGTTAAACAGAGGGATTATTTCTGTGATGCAAAGACTGGAGAAAAAAGTGGAGGTAGCACTAAGGCTATTCTGCGACTTAACATATGAATGGTGTGAAAGACCAAAGATACTAAATTCTGTTTAAAATTTCTTAACTATTCTATAGCCTAAAATGTAAGGTATAGTCCCAAAGATAAATATAAAAATCTCCATTCCTCATTCTGTCCCAAATTGAGATTTGTATTTGGGTCATAAATTTTTCTGCAGCATTTGGATACCTCAGGTTACAACAAACATGAGAGAGTTAAAAGATAAAAGTTAATGAAATTAAGTTATGATTTTAACTTGTGAGTTAGGAGAAAGTAAACAAATATGAAGTGCAAAAATAACCTTTCCTGAGATCTGTGTGTTTCAGGAATGTGGAAGCCTGGCCACAGTCCATCTCTGACCTCCTTCTATAGTAAGTCACATAATGTCCACACAACTACACACAAACACACTTGCACAGGCACGCACAAACAACTAAGTAATTTATATAAAGGCATTAAGCACAGATAGAGAGAAAAGCACTTGTCTCTCTTTTCTTCTGAATTTCTTATTAACAACAATCTTCAAAAGATATAACCTTTAAGACTAACAGCTTAAGATGTAATGGTGACAACTCAGGCTTTTATCAAATGGTCTCAGTTGTTTTTTTTAAATAGGTTTCCTTAAAATATTTCTTCATTTGCTATATCTTTTCTGTCTGCTCCAACTTTATTAACCAACACAGAGCATTTCCTACCTCAAGAGGGTACTTGAAATACAAACTACTTAAAGGTAAATATAAAAATATAGGAAACTTTTCCTCCCTAATATACAAAATTCACAAATTGCATAAATATTTCTATTGTTTTCTTTACAAATATATAAATTTATTAGAAAAACATGCCTACTAAATTTTGGTATATTTTCATTTAAAGATGTATCACATCTTCATTGCAAAATAAAAGCAGAGGAAGTATTTTTCTCAAGCCATTTTTAGTATTTCTAGTTAGGGTTGATGTTACCTAATGATTTCCTACCAGAAGATGTGACCTAATGATTTACTAACATTGTTACTATGGTCAGGGTTATCTTATTAGCAAATAAACCAAAACAAAACACAAGGAAAACAAAAGAATGATTTTAACATGCTTAGTCTAAGTTCTTTGTCTTTCAAAGTATTCTTTTTCATAGTTACAACACTATTCTTTGGGTGTATTCTTAGTTTTGTGATTAATCAAAGACACTTTGTATAAGCCCTAACACTTGTCACCCAATTAAAGGATCATCATCATCTTCTTGTAGCTGAAGTCGAGAAAATGGACGAGGTACAGAAAGTCTATTCTGCATGATTATTATGAGGCATGTTAGCGTGGTTAACACCAAGAGTGAACCGACAACAATTGCGATGGCTTCTGGCAGATTGATGCACCACTGGTCAACTAACAAGCACTTAGTATGACCAAAAGTCCCATTATTGGGATGTGGTTTTAATCCCAGGATGTGGCACATCATTGGATAAATATCCACAATGTTAATTGTGCTATGCTTGTAGCCTTTGTGAAATGCAGGTCCGTGGGCAGCTAGAAATGGATGCATACTAGGCAAAGAATTATCATAACCATGGTCACCTACTGAAAAAGAACAAAACAACATCAGTAAATAAGATCAGACTTTTTAGGAAAAAATAACTTGTTTCTAGTATATACACATTCAATTCTTTCAGAAAGGGACCAGAAATAAAAATTTCTATTTCTTCAACTCAGCTATGTTCCCTATTTCCCTCTCTCTTTCTCAAATACACACACACAAACACACACACATGCCCCTTTTCCCAACTGGTCATACCCTCAGACTTTACCACCACTTCTCAACCTGACGTACTTATCTTTCAGCCCTAGTACCACTTACTTCACCTGGCAATCTCAGCACTGTTTGCAAAAGCTCGCTGCAAACAGTACTAGTTATAAAGACAGTGGTCAGGCTGAGGGTTCTGTGTAACTGGGAAGAGCAGAATGAGTAATGCCAGAAAATGGAGAAAAAGAAAATCTGCAGCCTAACCTATCTCAATTGTTAGAGGAAGGATCTTGCATTGAATGTGTTGTCTAACCTGGTGACTCCATCCCAGTAAAAGTTAGACTTAAAGAAAAGCGTATGATAGTCCCTAATACAACTCCAATAATAAATTTCCAATTTTTAGCTTTAACAAATGTTGCCATTTAATGCACACCAGCTGTATTTAATGAGCTCCCACTTTCATATTACATACAGGTGACTGAGTGATAAGTATATTGATATTTGTTATATTATTCTTTGGTGGTATGTTTGAAATATTTCATCATAAAAATAAAAAATATGACGAAAAGCAGAATATACAGAAAGATTTCAATATTAAAACATACACACACACACACACACACATATATATATAAGAAAAAAGATTGGATGGGGGGAAATGCCCACAATTAACATTTGCCTATAAATCTGTACTGAGGGATTATGGATAGTTTTTGTTCTCTTTCCTATGCTTTTCTATACTTGCAGTTTTCAATAACGAATATGCAACATATAACACTGATGTAAATAATACAAACTTCATTGACCCTGAGTCTGTCCTATGCTTGCCTGATACTTCTAAATTGCTATATATCAGAGAACTGCAAACTACAGCCCATAGCGAAGGTCAGCCCTCCATCCTTTTTGTAAACAGAGTTTCACTAAAACCCACCACTTCAATTTGTTTACAGGTTGTCTATGGCTGCTTTCACACAATAAAGGCAGAGTTGAGTAGCTGAGACAGAGACCAGCTGGCCCACAAAGCCTAAAGTATTTTCTACCTGGCCCTTTACTAAAAAAGTTTGCTGACCCTTAGTATAGGCCACAAAATTAGATTTTTAAAAAAGCATTTGAATTGAATATGAAATATGGATAAATAAGCTTCAGTTTGAGGCAAGAACTGTAACTCTCCCCTACACATTTTCTCTCCTATACATTTTTAAGGAGAGATTTTGATGTATCTGTTTTGTTCACTTGGTGGATTTTTTTGTCTGGTTACTTTCTGGTTCTTGCCCAGTGTTCTAAATAGCTGTAGCATTCAGGTAAATGATTTTGTCACTGGGGAAGACTTAGGGTTACTCAGACAAATTTTTTTTAACACACACAAGAACAAGGATTAGCTAATCTCTCCCCTTTTACTGTTTCTTTACTTCTCTCTTTTATTTTGTATAAATCAAGAGAATGAATCTTGAAAATTACTGACAGTAATTGCAGTTTTGGAAAGAAAGTAAGACTATGCCTTCACTCTTAAATCTACTTTCTAATTTAAAGGTGAAATTGTGATTACTGTAAATTCTATGAAATGAAGACCTGGGAATTATCTGGTTGAAAATTGAACTAATTCTTCTGTGTGAACTTCTTTAAGTCGAAGTACCCTCTTAACACAACGGTATCACAAGACATGATTTGTTCCTACTATACAACAGAAATATCTCAACTAAATACTTACATTTTTGTGATGATTTATTTAGCACAATTGTCCAGCCTTCATTTGCAACCAAAATAATGGGCTGAATCCGATCATTATGTTGGTAATAAAATCTGTTAGGAATGTCTTCTTTGAGATAAACATTCATATGAGAGTTACAGTTTTTCAGTTTGTTGTAAACCTCTGTTCTATCTGAGAAAAAAAGGAAACAGCAAAGGAAACAAGTTATAATTGGTAAGGAAAAAATATGTCTAACTAGAATAACTGGAAGTGAATTATAGATAATATCATCTATTAAATCACTTCTTAAAAAAACAGAGCAATAATAATGTGACAGTGTTGGGGACTGATACACACAAACACACACCTTTCTCAAACATTAACAAATCTGTTTCACTTTGTGGATTACCGTGGTGGACTTTTATAGAAAGGGGACATTTTTCATGTGTATCTTCCTAAGTAAACATAAACTAATTACATGTTACTACTAACTACTAATTCTGTGATCAGTAGAAGAAAGGTACCTCACACTGTCACCACTAAACATCACACACTAAAATCTAAGATGTTGAAGGATAAAAATTTCCTTTTTCCATTAGTGCAAGTAATTAGATATATCAAAAGCAAAGCAATATTCACTTTGAAACTAAACCATAACCCATATAACTAAACCGTAAGTCAACTGCTCTAAACTTGTAAAGAAGAGGAAAAACACATATAATCTCACTCTGAGTATATGGTTCTAAACTACAAAAAGCCAGAGCTTCATTCTTTTATACAACCCACCCCCCCTCAATCAATTGCCCCATTCAAATAATAGTATCCCTCAGCTGAATGTTTACTTACTTATTTTGGGAAGTATTGCAGCAACTGGGCTCAAATCTATAAGAGTGTAGTATGAATGATCGATGCAGACATCCAAGTTTATCAGTCTATCCTGAGAACACTGGGTCATCCCATGATCACTTGTAATGATCACATTAAGATTTTCCCACAGCCCTAACATCTTGAGTTTTTGGACTAAGTCACCGATAAGATCATCTATTTTTTTCAACACTCTGCTCATGTTTTCTTTATCTTCAGGTCCATACTTGTGGCCACTTGCATCTGGTTCTTCCCAATAGAGTGTTGCAAAGGTGACTGGTGGGTTTGAATTGTTTAGCCACATAGTAATATTATTTAGTCTTTCCTCAAATGACACTGAGGAGTTGTAATTCATAAAATAGGAAGAGGTGGTATTGTGAATGGGTACATCAGTACCAGGCCACATAGCAGCAGCACTTGATCTGTTTTCCTGAAGCTGATTGGTCACCCAAATAGGTACTGCCTCATTCCACCAAAAAGGATCCTTGTCATTAGAGTCAGAAAAATGTTTCTTTGTGACTGCATCATACATGGAATTAGCCACAATGCCATGGCTTTCTTCATACAAGCCTGTCACAATACTGTAGTGGTTTGGAAATGTTTTTGTGATAAAAACATTTTTAACATGCTCTACCAAGACACCTTCTTTGATAAAATTCTGGAGATGAGGAAATTCATAGTTCTTCAGATAATCAGCTCTGAATCCATCAAAGGATACTAGTAGTAACTTAGGTGGCAAACTAGAGGAAGAGTCACTTCTACAACCAGTAATAAGTCCAGAAAACAAAAGTATTACTAATAACTTCATAATGAACACGTTGAACGACAGCAATCAGGGTTCCTAAAATGTAAAAACACAATTCATAAGTAGCAATGCTATTTCATTTGGGTTAAGTTTTAGAATTTTAGCCCACAGGAGGAGAGAACCAATATTTATATGCCAGCTTTACCTATATTAACTTAAATAATGCCATTTATTTAAAAATAAAGCTAAACTTGGAAAAAATAAAAATTGTCTTTACTTGTCCAGTTTCCTGTTTATATATATGCCCTACTCTATCCTTTATATGGACCATTTTTACACTCCACATCAATACTCCTCCTAGGCTGTCATGCGCATTAGCTGCATTAGAAATTCTTCTAAAGGCTTAATAAAAATAGATGCAGACACTAAAATGATTCTTTTATATAATATAAAGTTAATGCCAAGCTTTCAGAGGCTCCAGAGATGATGATTATTTTTCCAGTTTAATAAATTGTACTTTATAGTTTCTTTAACCCACAGAAATAATTGGTGGAAATTCTACCATATTGGCTTATTGCCAGTTCTTGTGGAAAATATTGCTATAAAAAAGGGGGGATAAGAAATAAATGCTATTGAAAAAAAGCCCCCCATCAGTCTGTACATGCCCCAATAGTCACATGAAGTTGATTAACAAACATACAAAGCCTACAGGGACATGGATGCTCCAGTAACTTATGAAGAAATCCAATAGCTATTGAAATGAATTTTACTACCACGTCCCTCTTAAACTTCCTTTTTGCAATCAACAACTATTTTCACTAATAGTTTCCCAAGGCTTAAAGCTATCTCTGATTCTTTGTTCTTTTTTTTAAAATCAATTCACTGATGACAAAAACAGCTTTTCCCTAATAAATCTCCCTGCCTTCAGTCTCTATCTTCTTTGGCCTCTAAGAAAATAAGACGTGTGATTTAGGCAGAATGATTCATTTTAGATGGATGGGATGCCTCTTCGATTGTAAGAGGAGAGAAGGAGCAAAGGTAGGGGAGCGGACAGGTTTGAGGACTGGAGGTGAAGAGAGTTGCCAGAGGTAGGGTCAATTATTGAGAGGCAGCAGACTGGTAAAAGGTTCAGAGGTCTGAGGAACAGAAAAAATGTCTGAAATAGTTAATGTGGAGGATGGGAGAAAGTGTGAGGAAACAGCAGAACTGGGGTCAATGTTGACAGCTGTCATGAATTTTCATAGTGACATGGTTGACTGGTTTTCTCTAGCAACTCAGTAAACCTGGCACAGGCATGAACAAAACAGGCAGCTGATCCTCCCTGGATTTGAGATTCTGCCAGAAACTGAAGGAAGACAAAGGAAGTTGAAGATGCTAACTTTAGCAGCTGAAATTTGGGCTGTAGCATCTAAGCTGAAACTGACAGATGTGAGTAGAGAGGTTCTGGTGAAGTCAAAGAACTAATTAAGATTAGTTAAGAGTAACTTTTAGTGAAAGTTACAAAGATCTGGGATTGCAGTTATAATGCCAACAAGTGAATGCATTATTTCAGATTAAGAAGACCCTGAACATGGTAATGGGTATGCATGTTGAGGTCCCAGGTATGAAGAGCAGCAAGTTAACTAATATGATTATGAAGTTCAGGAGTCATGTATTGTGTATTCTCTCAAGTAGACTGGAAATTCTTTCTTTCTTTCAAACATGCCACCTGGAGGATCTGTGTACTTGTGGTCAAATACTTACTGACAAGAAGCTGTGATCCTCTTAAAAACTGACTTAAAATTAGAAAGACCAAAGGCACAGAATCTGATTTATGAGGATCTTGGGTCTAGAAAATCTCTACTATTTTAATCTGAGACAGGTTGCCTTCTGAATATGGTGCATGGAACATTTGTTCCTGGTGCTCCCCAATAACCAAAAATAATGCAGAGTAACAAAACCACCTCTCCAAAGGACAGAGTAACAAACCTAATAAGGGGTAGAGGAGGCATATGGGTATTTCCACAGACACAGCCCTAGTCATATCTCAGCAATTTCAGCTATCAAGAAACTAGACAATGGTACTTCCCCTTTCATTCAATGTTTTATGCCCCCAACACAGTGTTTATGTATGACTTAACTCCTCCCTCAGAGAGTTTTAACTGGGTTCAATCAGATGACAATATCATGTGGGTTGCTACAATTTTAGAAGTTGTGTCAAGGGCATGCAGGTCTCCATGAAAGCTTGGATTGAGTAGATTCCCTGGTTTCTCTGAGTATCGTTCCCCATATCCAAATATTTCTTTCCAACAACAGAGACTTTTAAATCGGCAAATAGGTGGCACAGTATCTTCTCACAGGGAAAACATACTCATAAATTTACTTTTTGAAAAACACTATTTACTTCTCTGGCTCTTTCCCTGTGTAACTATTTTATATTCCCAACCAGTCTTATCCCATCGCACAGCTGTTCTGCTGCCAAATCCAATCTGATATGTGTCAGATGGAATGCATTCTCTATACCTCCACATCTTTTCCCCCTTCCTTAGTTCCCAGTCCTTTAAAACAGCTTCACCATTCTCTCAATCACAAAGAGATCCCCTGAGTATATGATCAGTTGCCAGTCTAGTCAATTCTATCTTCACATCATCTAATACAGCACATCAGACATAAGAATCACTGAAGGAAGTTTGTTAAAAGTACAGCTGTCAAGTCACTATAACTAGGAGATTCTGATTCAGTCAGCCCACAGTAGAGGCCAGAAACCTGCGTGTGAAACAAACATTTTTAACAGCTACCCACTCATCCATCTCTACTACTGCTATATTTCTTTAGACCTCAATACCTCTTGTCCAGAGCACTTTTGTCTCTTAATTCACCTTTCTACCTCAACCACCTTCCACTTTCTCACCTCACATCTACTGCCAACTCAGTTTCCCTGGGCACAGCTCTGTTCATGTTCCCTTAATTAAAAATATATTCAAAAGATCCCCCTGCCTATACAAAAAGCCCAAATGCCTGAGTCTCACATTCAAGTCCCTCCAATATCCAGGCCCAACTTGCATGCAAATTACTGTGAAATAAATACAGAAATAACTGTCAACTTGAATTTCCATTCACCATATTTCATTGTCACGATCTTTCTGAAATGTATTACAACATGTAAAGTATAATCATCATTCATCTTGGTGGTCTATAATAGCTCTTCAGTATTAGTTTGCATTTCCAGAATATCCTAAAATTAGTTCCTACATACGAAGGCTGGCTCAGCAGACACCTGGGTCATTTTGTAAAAAATCATTCAACAAATATCTACTATCACTAATTCCATAACACAAAAGTATATGTATGTGCCATGTATTAGGGAACAAAGAACTTATACTTTTCAAATATATAATAATCAAAGCAGGAGCATAAATAACAAAAATAATAAATCAGGCTGTCATCTGGAAAAAGACAGGCTTTATACTTTAATCAATTTTGTTCTACAACACCAAATAACAGAATAGACTTCAATTAGCAAATAGGTGGCACAGTATCTTCTCACGGGGAAAAATACTCATAAATTTATGAGTACATATTTGTAACAGTGTGTTTGAGATTCACACATCATAATGTATTATTTTTAACGCTAAGAGAAATTACTAAAAATGGAATATTGTAGTATGTCTAAACATTTTCCAGTAGATTTACCTCTAAGAGCAGAGGGGTGCCAAGACAATTCAACAAATGGTACAGGGACAACTGGATATCCACATGCAAAAGAACAAATTGGAGCCCTGCCTCATACCATACACAAAAATTCATTCAAAGTAGATCACAGACCTTGGTTAAGAGCTAAAACTGTAAAGCTCTTAAAAGAAAATGTAGGAGTAAATGTAGGAGTAACTTTTTGTAACCCTGGGTTCTTAGATACCACACCAAGAGCACAAGTGACCAAAAAAGAGAAATGAACTGGACTTCAAAATTTAAAAGTCTCATGCTTTAAACGATACCATCAAGAAAGTGAAAAGGCAACACAGAGAATGGAAGAAAATATTTGCAAATCATATATCTGAAGAGATTTGTATCTAGACTATACAAAGAACTGCTACAACTCAATAATAAAAAGTCGGATAATCCAATTAAAAAATGAGCATGATCTGAAAAAGATATTTCTCCAAAGACACAGATGACAAATTAGCACATGAAAAGATGCTCAACAGCATTAGTCATCAGAGAAATGCAATCAAACCCACAATAAGATACCACTTCACACCCAGAGGATGAGTAAATAAAAGAGATAACAAGTGTTGATAGAGAAAATGAAACTGTTATAAACTGCTACAGGAAATGTAAAATGGTACAGCCACTTTGGAAAATATTCTGGCAGTCTTCAAAGGGTTAAATATAGGACTACCATAAAACCCAGCAATTCTACTATTAGGCATGTGCCCAAGAGAAATGAAAACATATGTCCACGCAAAAACTTGTACACAAATGTTCACAGCAGCATTATTTGTAAGACTCAAGAAGTAGAAACATCTCAATGTGCACTAACTTATGAATGGATAAATAAAATGTGATATATCCATATAATAAAATATTATTTGACAAAAAAAGGAAGGAAGTGCTGACACATTTTACAACCTGGATAAATATGCTAAATGTAAGAACGCAGTCACAAAAAATCACTTATTGTATGATTCCATTTGATAAAATGTCTAGAATCGGCAAATCTACAGAGACTAAAAGTAACTATAGTAACTATCTAGGGCTAGGGGTTGGGGGAGAAATGGGTAGTAAATGCCAGTAGGTATAAAGTTTATTTTGGGGGTTATGAAAATGTTTTCAAATTGATTGTGATGACAGTTGCACAATTCCATAAAGCTGTACTCTTTAAATGAGTGAACTGAATGGTGTGTGATTTATATCTCAATAAAAAGGTTATTTTTTTAAAAAGAGCAGAGGGAAGTGAAATTGTAATATTAAATGTCCCGCCACAGAACAGGAAACATCTAATCTCATTTTACCTCAAAAAAAAGTGAATTTTATACTCCATAATACAGACTTGAGTGTTTTAATGTGAAAGCTTTATATCACTTCCCATGTGCAAAACAGACCAAAAACCTGTGTCCATCCTCCCCTACGAAATACTAATCAAAATGCTTCTTCCTCAAATCTTGAGTTAAAAGGATGCTCCAGGAACACATGCTGTTAATCCTGTGGCTCAGTAATCCCTCAGCACACTGCTGGCATCCAAGCGTCGCAGTCCTTGTCCTCAGGATTAGGATTACAGACGAAGTGCAAAGACTATAGACTGAAGTCAGAAGGGTCCCAGAACCTGAGCTCACAACTAGTAGATGGGTGATCTTGGGTAGATCCAACTTTTCCTGGCTTCTGTTTCCTTGTGTGTAAAATGGGGATGCGTAAAGGTTACAGAACAGGCCCTCAAAATTAGTTTCCCTTTATCATTCTAGTTACAAAGCTGTTGCGGGGGCAGGGGGAACCAAGTCTATACTATGACAGGCAGAATATTATTGTGAAACTATAAAATACACTAGGAAAAATTTAGTCTCATCTCCTCGCATATGATGACCTTTCATATGACTTTGTATATGATGAAGCTAAAGTTCAGTGATTGGCTGGGCTCAGAAAGCAATCAGTTGCTTTACTGCATTCTTACTAATTTCATGTCCTCAATAAGTTTACAAATCCAGTAATAGCAAGTTAACAAATCTGGTAATAATCTCCAAACTATTAACAGAACTCTTCTTTTATTAGCAGTGCTGGATCCATGTCTACCACATTCTGTCTCATTCTAACAGGGAGTGTTAAGCTACAGACAAACCAACAAGAAGTAGTTCTCAAGCAGTTTCCAAGGTATGAAAATAAAGTTTGCAGGGAATGAAACTGTTATATTACAAAATATTGGGAGAAATTCTGTAATTTTTCACACCCAAAAGATGTCAAAGAGAAGAAAAAAAGCAGACCTCTGTGGACTGCAACCAAATATCCCCAAAACAACTGGAAGTATGAGTTAGTCTTCAATTCAGGGAACAAACTACCTTCTAACTTCTCTGGGAAGACCTTCTTGCATGGATGGAATGCAGTCAACTCTCACTGGGGCATTCTTAGCCCATGTGAAGCCAAGAGAGGATAAACCGTTACAGGATATGGTGAAAGATATTTGTCACCATTAGCATGCCATCTGCTCTGTAATACAATGAAACTCTCATACACCTTTAAAAACTTTATTCTATGTCTATAAATAAGGCCGTTACTTTTAGATTATTATCAGTTGCTTTCTTATAGTCTAAGGAAAAATATACACTCCCTAAAAAAATTCCTTGGTCTTAAAAATCGTAGGATTCTAAATTATTCTCCAATTCTGTAAAACACACAGAAATTTCTAGCATACATAAAATTTTCTAGCATCTTCAAAACACACTTATCTTACTTTCTACATAGTAAAATACCTCCCTCCATTACACCTTGTCGTTTCATCAGAATTTATTCCAAATTATATCCTGTAACTAATCTAAGTGGAGGTGGGGGGGAAGATGCACAAGTGCTGCAGCCTTCTTAATTTCCTTAAAATAGCTTGACACAATCTCGGGGGTGGGGGGTGAGAAGAAATAAAAGATCATAATACTGAAACCAGCAGCTGATATTTCACAGTAGTTGGCAAATCTTCCCTTCAGACTTGGGTCCACCAGATTGCCTGATTAAGCAAAGCCCTTCTGGAATCAGATGTGGTGTAAAGCTGAATCCGCCTGTCACTAGTTGTACAATCTTCATTGGACGCGTCCCTTCACTTCTCTGAGCCTGACTTTCGTCATCTGTAAAATGGGAATGCTATGATCTCATAGGGTGGTTGTGACAAGAAAAGGAAGCATTGTTTTTAAGTCCTTACGTGCTTTTAATCCAGCCCTTTAAAAAGGCACTTAAATGTACCTTTTATTGTTTGGTTGGCTTGTTTTCTAGGAAATTAGTTCTTAAATATATCTATAATTAACATAAACTCTAATCTAATATTCCCCAGACAGACGGATGTCGATGCCATCGGTGGTTCTCCTTTAAAACCAAAAGCCTGGCGACCCCTCCCCAGCTCCCCTCATTTTCACCCCAGACCCACCTTAGGTTCCTCCACTACCGTTCAGCTGACTTCCCTCCCTTCACACTTAACACCACAGGTTTCCTTCCCCAGTTCCACAACCACCTGCTAAATTTTCTTTCCTCTTCCCTTACTGGCCTCCGCCTCGGCCCGCCACCTCCCTGGCTCTTTCAGTCCCTTCGTGGACGTCCCCGCCGCGCCCCAGGGGACGTGCGTGTAGTGGGTGAGAATGGGTCAGAGGGTATCGTCTCACCATCTCTATTTTCAAAGCCCCTCGTGGACTGGGGAGGGGGTGACACTGCCCCACAGAACGCCGAGCGCGCCAGGCGCGTACTCACCAGCCGCCGCCGCCGCTTTTTTCCAACGCGCGGAACTCGGCGCTCGCGGCACCTGGCACTCGTGGGAAGTTGCGGGGAAGGGGAACCTCAAGGAAGAGGGGCGAGGCCGAGCTCTTCCTGAGGCGCCTGCGCAGTGGCGGGCGCCGCGCCGCGGGGCACAGCCCCAACCTCCCTATCTGCGCCGCTCGGGGCGCTCCGAATGTGCGCAGCTGCCAGGCGAGCGTCTACGGCACCAGCTCGGGACTGGCTGGGACAGGGCAGCAGAGTCTGAGACACGTCCTTGGATTGGATGCTAGAGCCAGAGTTGAATGTAACTTTCTTTCCGATTGGTTAGACAGGTTCTTGGAGGGGTCGAATTGGACCTAAGAGTAGAGAGGTTCATTCCACTCTCCCACCACGCCCTTTTCTTATCCTAGATCTGGACGCCCTTCAGGGAACCTGAAAACCAGCGAGTCCGGGAAAGGGCTCTGGCAATTCCCAAGCCGATGACCTTCTGCCACTTAGTTAATGTGCACCTGGCAGCTTAGGTGACCGCGGAGAAAGCAACATTGGCTGCACCAAGGTCCGGCACAAGTCTAGAGAGGCTTCAGCCAGATCCAGAGAGTTGGGATAAAAGAAACGTGGATCTACCATAGAAGTCTGTCCGTCTTACTGGATAAGCGAGCACCTTTACAGGGGAAGTTGGGTAATAGTTTAGAAGTAAGGTTAAAAGCAGCACGGTCCCTGCGGCAGGGAACCAGTAATGAGTTACAGCTGAGAACTGGGTGCTTTGACAGACGCGTATGTGGGATTGTGCTCCTGCTTTTAATGGAAAGATTATTCAATAGAATAATGTAACTAAACTTTCCAACATAAAAAGCAATTACCAAACAGAAGTAGAATTATTCGCTAATAATTGGGTTGTCCAGGCACACTTGGCAATGAGAGGATAACATCTTTTTTCTCTTTTTAATCTGTAGTGCCAAACAGAACTTGGTGTAGAAGTACTTACTAAATCATTATTGAATTTAATGGAACATTTAAAGGTGCATCAGGTTCACTGTCCCCCATGTTAAAATGCAGGCTCCGGGAGGTATTTTCTTTCTTGTTCACTACTGTATCTCCAGCTCAAATAAAAAGTGCAAATAAATTAAGAATATTAATGACATGTAATATCCTCAAGTGTTAAGCATTTAATAGCTGTAAATCCAGTACCTAGATTAGTAAACTGCAGTAGTGGACCTTAGATAACAAATTCTGAAGTTGGTCCCCTTGGTCTGAGCTTTACAATATAGCTGTTAACAACAATCTGGAAGCAGCCATGGAGATGATCAGGCAATAGATGTATTCCGTTAGATTATTAGTTTGTGCCTAGATAAATTAATTCCAGTTTTAAGTCTCAAGTTGGCCTGTGCATTGGTGAATATGGGCATCTTAGATCCGTGGGCTTTCAGAGCTGGAGGGGATGGTAATGGGTATGTAGCTGAATCCCTAGAACCTGAAGACCCTAGGATCTGGTTTGAATACTCCCTCTGTCACTCACCAGCAGAGCAATCATGGGCCAGTGTCTCAACCTATTTGAGCTTTCATTTCCTTATCTGCAAAATGGATCTTGTTACAATACCAACCTCTTACTATCAAATGAATGAGATAAAGCAAGTAAAGTATTCAGCACAGTGTCTGACACGTGTTGGGGATTATTATCATTATAATAATAAAAAAAAAAAACCCGATTTGAACAATAGTCAGGGTAAGGCCAAGTTTTGGGAGAATTTAGGTAATGTCCAATTACATAAAATTTAAGTTTAGCAGAACTTAAATTTTGTGGCATTTGGGGGTATTGTGCATATCCTGTTTGTTCATTCAGTAGGTGCATATGTGCTTAAAGGGTGGACAAAACTGTATGCCATCTAGGTCAGATGTGTGGTGAAGATAGCAGCTGGATGGGCATCAGGAGAGAAGAATTTTCTTTATCCACTGCTACTGCCTGTGTGGCTGGGTTAAATTAGGGCATCTCATGCTGCCGGGGCTCTTGCTCTGTAAGATAAAGTGGTCAGGAACAGAGGGACAAAATAACACATAAGGACCTTTGGCCCTAAACTTTTGTTATCCTCTATATATTTACTATTTCAACCACAACCAAAATCCTGTTATAGTAAGGATATTTATCATCTTGTGGAACAAGAAGTCCAGAGGTAAGGCAGACTTCAGGACTGGTTGAGTTAGCAACTCAACGATATCATAATGTACTCAGTTCTTTGCAGCTTTACACTTGGCTTTTAACAGAGTTGCCTTCTGGTTCCTTTAGTGGGAAATATAACTACCAGCAGCAACAAGAACCATGTAATTCATTTTGCACTTCCACTGGGTGATAGAAATGACGTCTAGATTTCTTCTGTCTCTTAGAAGTCTTCAGCAACCATCTCCTTCAATCACTTTGGACAGAACTGTGTCACATATCCCAATCTAAGCCAGCAAAGGACATGGTTACCTGTAGACTAATGCAGTCCACATCTTAAACTGAGGTCTCGCCCAAACTTTGCTTTTTTTCTCAATGGAAATGAGGTGGAATGTGTGCTGGGAAGTCGGCCACAAAGTTCACTATAGTTTCATTGTAGGAATTTAATGATAATAAAAGAAAACATAATAGTAACATACATTTCTTATTTACAATGTGATTTTTAGACATAAGCATTGTTTTATTTAGGTAGGCAAAATAATATTCACTTATAATGTTCTTTCAGCTCAGCTTTTGCAAAGGGAATTTTACATAGTTTGGAAATATAGAGAACCTTTAAACCCATTTTATGTTAGAGATTGAAATGGACTAGAGGCAATAGTCTAAACTTATTATTTACAAATGAATATACCCCACAGAGAAATGACTGAGCAAACATACAGTTAGATAGAAGAAATATATTTTAATGTCTGATAGCAGAGTAGGGAGACTATAGTTAAATGTATTTTATATTTCAAAATAGCTAGAAGACAGGACTTGAAAGTTCCCATCACATAGAAATGATAAATACTTGAGGTAATGGATACCCTAAATACCCTGACTTGATTGTTTCACAGTCAATGCATGTAACAAAATATCACATCTGCCCTATAAATGTATTTAGAATTATTATTTATCAATAAAAAAAAATGCACAGAAACTAAGTACAACTAGAGTATTTGCCTTTATGGGGCAATGTCAGATTTAGAAGCAGCATGTCAAAGGCAGTTTCTTTTTCTCCCATGAACTACACTTAAGACTGAATATTTATTCATTAACACAAAATATTTTTAAAATCTTATCCTGTTTTCAAAATTAAAGACATAGCTCTCTATATAATTATTTCTCTTCTATACTCCTAATTGTGATGTATAACTCATTGTTGGCAGGAGTATGTCAGAAGTTAGAAGTTACAGGAAAAAGGTTTCAGAGCAAAAGCCACACCCTGCCCAAAGAAAAACAATTCCTGTCCACTGCTCAGTTCTAATTAAACAATGCAACTGAAACTAAATAACTGAATTTCAAGGAGAGTATTTAAGGTTCACTTTTTAACATAAATTAGATGTTAAAGTAAATAATACGGATTTTATCTTAAATGTAACAGGGGAAAAGGACCTCATGAATCATTGAATTTTAATGATTTTGAAAGTTCCTTTGGTGAAAACTTTTTACCTACTCCATTTTCAGTAACATTATATTGGAATAATCTCAATCAAGTTAAGATTGTAAAATATTTTTAAGTGCTCCTTTAAAAAATGATTCTGTATTAACCACCATGAACTATTGTGTTAGACCCTTCACTCTGAAGGAATTTTTCCAAATATTTAATAAAGCTGTGAAAGAATCAGTATGAATTCTTTTGAGGCTTTCCTATGTGGAGAGCAATGTGTTCAATTTTTCAGAAGATACAAAAATAAGTAAGATTCATTCCCTGCCCTCAAGGTGCTTCTAATCTAGGAAAGCGAATGGAGAGGACATTACTCGGTTGCTTTTGCCTGCCCAGCATTTATTCCTTCTCCTGGCGATTCCTCCAGGAGATCAACCCACCTTCATTCTTTGACTATGGGAGTCAGATGGGGCTGATTGTAATTCCGCTCATCTGCAGGGCAGACTCCTAAGGTGACAGCTATCTTGGTTTGTCCCGAATTCAAGAGGTTCCTGGGACATGGGATTTTTAATCCTAAAATCAGAAAAGCAACAAGCAAATCGGGGTGAGTTGGTCACCCTAACTCTGACTCAAGCTTGGCCTTTTGGAGCCCATTTTAATCCATTAACCACATGAATTAGTTCAGTGATGGGGACATGCCTCAGACCAGGCCATAAAGACTCAATTCTGAAACTTTTGTTGAAACAATTGGGAAAGAGTCAGTATTTCAGCAACAATTGCTAAATAGGTAGAGTATAAGCTTACCTATTTGGCAATTGTTGATACTCTACCTATTTAGCAATCATTGGAGCTGCTGGTGGCCATCATTGTCACTGTAAAGGGAAAGTCTTCCTGAGAATGAAGGCAACACAGAAGAAAGCACAGCGGAGGGCTGGAGTCTGACACGTGATGATGTTGAGCACGTGCAAGTTTCCCTGAAGCTGCATCCTTGAACTTCTCACTTCTCACGTGACTCAGTAAATTATCTTTTTGCTTAAACCAGTTTTAATTAGGTTTCTACTACTTGTGTCTAAATAAGGGCTCAGAAGAGGGACCATGTGTTTACACTATACCATCAAGTGAGGTAAATGCTATAAAAGAGTCCTAAAAGGAGAAGAGGTTAAACCATGCAGAAGTTAAATTCAGCTGCAAGAAGTCAGGAAATTGATTCAGGATGAGCTGGTGTTTGATTAATTCTTGCAGATTAGCCTGGTGTAAGTAGTTTCCAATGACTGCTCTAACTACCACAAACTTAGTGACTTGATCAACCCAAATTTCTTACGTGCAGTTCTGGAGGTCAGAAGTTGAGAATGGGTCAGCAGGGCTACATTCCTTCTGGAGATCTTGAAGAGAATTCATTTCCTTGCATTTTCCAGCCTCTAGAGGCCACCTATATTCCTCGACCTGTGGCCTCATACTGTTATCTGCAAAGCATCTTCTAATCTCTCCCTCTCTGATTCTGACTCTCCTGCCTCCTTTTTCCCTGATAAGGATTCACAACATGATTACACATTGGGCCCATCTAGGTGATGCAAGATAATGTCGCCTCTTCTCAAGACCCTTACTT